GACGAACAAGGAGTGTATGTATGTATGTATGTATATGTGCAGTGTTTGTCAGCAAAATGGCCTCAGGGCTATTCAATATTTTTACCTATATATAATAATAATATCAAACTAAACACAACTATCTCAAGGAATTTATCCAAAGACCTAATTACAAGATTGCTGAATATCAAATAAGAATCTCTTCAGAAGAACATTTTTTATGTTTAGTATTTTACTGCTTTGTACTATAATATACTATAGTATAATATAATATACTATGCTATAGTATAATATAGTAACTTATGGTATAGTAACGCATCATATAGTACCGTACAGTATAGTATTTTATAGTGTAGTATATAGTACACTATACTATATTTTACTATACTATGCGTTATTGTACTATAAGTTACAACACTATGCGTTACTGTACTATACGTTACTATACTACTATTCGTAACTGTACTATAAGTTACTGTACTATAAGTCACTATACTGTACGTTACTGCACTGTAAGTTATTATACTATGCGTTACTATACTATATTTTGCTATACTATAAGTCACTATACTATGCGTTCATATACTATGCGTTACTGTACTATATGTTACTATACTACTATGCGTTACTGAACTATACTTTACTGTACTACTATGCGTTACTATACCCTACGTTACTATACTACTATGCGTTACTATACTATGCGTTATTGTACTATACGTTACTATACTATGCGTTACTGTACTGTACGTTACTATATTATGCGATACTGTAGCATACGTTACTATACTACTATGCGTTAATGAACTATACTTTACTATACTACTATGCGTTACTATACCCTACGTTACTATACTACTATGCGTTACTATATATGCGTTATAGTACTATACGTTACTATACTACTATGCGTTACTGCACTATACGTTACTGTACTATGTGTTACTGTACTGTACGTTACTATACTATGCGTTACTGAACTATACTTTACTATACTACTATGCGTTACTATACTATTATACGTTACTATACTATGCGTTACTGTACTGTACGTTACTATACTATGCGTAACTGAACTATACTTTACTATACTACTATGCGTTACTATACTATTATACGTTACTATACTATACGTTACTGTACTGTACGTTACTATACTATGCGTTACTGTAGTATACGTTACTATACTACTATGCGTTACTGCACTATACGTTACTATACTATGCGCTACTGTACTATACGTTACTATAGTATGCGTTACTGTACTATATGTTACTATACTACTATGCGTTACTATACTACGCGTTACTGTAATACTATGCGTTACTGTACTATACGTTACTATAGTATGCGTTACTGTATTATACGTTACTATACTACTATGCGTTACTGTAATACTATGCGTTACTGTACTATAAGTCAAGTTACTGTACTGTAAGTTACTATACTATATTTTAATATACTATGCGTTACTGTACTATAAGTCACTATACTATGCGTTACTGTACTGTAAGTTATTATACTATGTGTTACTCTACTGTAAGTTATTATACTATGCGTTACTATACTATATTTTACTATACTATAAGTTACTATACTATAGTATGCTATAGTATGGTAACTTATAGTATTGTATAGTAACGAATAGTATAGAAAAACGTAGTACAGTAACGCATAATGTAGTATACTGTAGCAAAATGTGTTTTTTTTAGGTTATGTACACCCATTCTTTTTAAGAGTGCAAAGGCACATGATCCTTGTTTGTCAAGACATTACTAAAGAGGTTAATTGTTTGTATACATGTACTCTAATTGCTATTTAGAAAGAATTTTCCTTTTTTATTGTTGTTTTTGTTATTATTATTGTTACTCTTATTACAAGACTTAAATCCGTCATATATATATATTAAATTGATCCCGCAATCGTTAACTATATACTGACGAGCAACAATATTGCATATGTATTTGTATATGTAATCGACTGTATTCAATGCAAAACAAGGAGGCGCCGCGTGCGCAAGCAGATGTCAAGGAGGTTATAGCATTAGGGTGAACACCACTGCTTCATTTTTATATAGACAGTGTTCACAAAAAAAAATTATTCTTATTCCTTTTATTATTATCACATATACCTCTATATATGAAATCAAATTATTTTATTTCAAAATCATTTGTCTTGACTTTTACAACAACCAGCTGCTTTCGTTCTTTCGCTGCATTAAGAGAATAAGAATAAAGAAACAAAACAGAAGAAGAAGAAGAAAAAAAGAGAGGGACAGGTGTTGTTCGTTACAGAGAGTTAATTATGCGTCATGTGCGATTTAAAAAAAAAGAAAAAAAAAAAAAAAAAAAAGATAAAAGAAAACACAGAGAAAATTCGTGCAAATCACCAGAGCTTATAATTGCCAAAATTTGATTTGTCATTATGGGATAAATATTCGAATAAGTTAACAGAGAATGTACAATGAGAATCAAAATGAAAATAGTGAAATTATGTTTTTTATTTTTAAATTCAAAGAAGGAAGTGTATTTTAAAATTTTAGTATAATTTAATATGTAACGGATTATAAAAGAGAGCGTAATTTTTTAATCCATAATTCTTTTATCTTAAGAAGACGTTTGAATGGTTTCAAATGAATAATAAAAATTTAATTCTAGGAATGCCTTAAAAGTAGGTCGTCGAAATTTTAATCCGACTCTTAAAATTCGTTTGAAATTTAACTAAACATATATTTGCTTCGTTATTGTTAATAACGTTTTAATTAATTATAATATTGTCTAAATAATTTTATCGTAATTTTTGATAAGGTATAACATTTTACCTCAAAAAAGCAATCGAATATTAAAAATACAACGAATTTTAAATGTAGCATAATTTTTGGGCATAATAAATAAAAATCGAAAGAATTGAAATTTAGAATTTAAAAAAAAATAAGAAGAAAAATCCAAACTTCTTTTTTTTTTTTGAAGTAAAATAAGAAAAAAGAATTTGACAGCGAAAAAAGTGAAACCGCGCGTCTTTTTCTCCATTCCAACAAACAGCAGTTAACATTTAGCAACCACGTGGCGAGCGGCTGGATTTCTGGATACGGGGTCCACATGCCTTTCAACAAGGCAGACTCGCGCGTATCGAGCACGTTTTTCCCATCGCGACAACCGTTTCATTGATAGAAAAATAATGAAAACGAGACATATACAAAACTTTCCGCCTGTTTTCTCCTATTACAAAAAAGAAAATAAAAAACAAATCATAAATTTTTTTTTTTATCTGTAAATAAATGTCAAATAAAAATTTTTAATTTTCCCTTTTTTCAAAATTTTTTGAATATAAAAAACAAAATCAAACACATAAATCAATGACGTAAAAGAAAAGGAGATCGTTATAAATGAACCATATAGCGATCAGCAATGGATGTCGAGAACAAAGGTCCGTTTCTGAACTTCCGTTGGCCTTTGAATCACGTTAAGAACCGGAAAACCTATCTCGAATAACAGCAAGAGTGACAAATTTTTTTTTTTTTTTTAAGAAATATGTCATAATTTTATTTTTATTAATAATTTTATTTGGGTTTCTTTAATTTGTTTTCCTTTTTTTCTTTTAGTATGAAAAAATGATTATGTATTTTAAATGTGACGAATGAAATGAATTTAATAAAAATAAAAGCCGTAAGTGTTGATGTCCTTTTAAATATAGCACTTGTATTAAAATACAAAACTAATATATGTGTTTCACTTTTTATATATTTATGTGTTAGTATGTATATACAGTGACGATGGATCATTGATATATCAAAGTTCATTCAAATTACTTTGTGTCACGATTGCCATTAATTTAGGCGATTTATGAAATAAGGTTCGTGTCAAATGTTTCGTCTGGTATGTTTAACGGAAAAAGGTTGTTTATAATAATACTAAACGAAAATTTATAAGAAATTATTCAGAAAATTATATATATAAATATCCATAGATAATTGTGAATAATATTTATTATTGCTGTATGCTTAAAAATCACTAAGGAATGACAAAAAATAATAATCCTAAGTATTAATGGAAAACAATACTAAGGAATATCCGAAATTAATGCTAAAGAATATCCAAAATTAATGCTAACGAATAACGGAAAACAATGCTAAGGAATATCCAAAATTAATGCTAAAAAATATCCAAAATTAATGCTAAGGAGTAACAAAATTTAATGCTAAAGAATTAATGCTAAAGAATTTCAAAAATTATTGCTAAGGAATAACGAAAAATAATGCTAAGAATTAACGGGAAACAATGCTAAGGAATATCTAAAATTATTGCTAAGGAATAATGGAAAACAATGCTAAGGAATATCCAAAATTAATGCTAAAGAATTTTAAAAATTAATGCTAAGGAATAACTAAAATTAATGCTAAAGAATATCCGAAATTAATGCTAAGGAATATCCAAAATTACTGTTAAGAAATAACGAAAATTAATGCTAAGGAAATAAGCTCAATAATAATCATATGCATTTGAAAACAATTTGAATAATAATCACATCTTGACAAGTCACATGGACAGAAGAAGAAGTAGGTCACAAAATTCTAAAACCATAAAAGGCGGGAATTTACGAGAAGATTCGGAGAATGTACAACAATATATATGTCTAAGGGTAAACAACCCTCGGCTTTGAAGAAGAAAGGAAGGGGATTGACAGCTGCAAGGACTTGCTTTACTACCTGGTGAAAGATTCATCGAATTTTGCGAACACTCTCCTTATAATAAGTACTGCTTTTGTACTTTGCTTTTTTACTTTTTGTAAATACTTTTTTTTTGCTTCTATATACTTTTCTACTTTGTATATATGCTTTTTTACTTTGTATATGCTTTTCTATATTTGTATATATGTATTTATATGTTTCTCGTGTTATTTTCCACTTCAAGATAATTTTTTTGAAACAAAAGAGCGCAAACGAGTACGATTCTCATGATAAGTTTTGAATTACGCCAAATGATGACAATCATAAATACATGACTAGAAATTCTATTGCGTACCTGACCGATCGCCATTAATTCTCTGCTCCAAATGCATTTCTGCTAATTGACTGTCACTAGCTGATTGATTACGTTCTTCCGGTTCCACTATCATTTGGATGCACTATTTTTTTTTCCACACAGATTTTTAAAGAGATGTTTCTTAATGATTCTTAATGGTCCCTTAAAGATGATTCAGTTTTCCTTAAAGAACACTTATTTCCATTGCTGAATTTCAGTTCACTGTTATTTCACAATTTACTATCATTTCGGATGTTTAAAAATTATTTCTGTTTATTATTTCTGTTCACTATTATTTTTGTTTACTATTATTTCTTTTCAAAATTATTTGTTTACTATTATGTTCACTACTATTTCCATTGTTCAACATTCTTTAAGACGACAGTATACTCACAAACGAAACAGTTTTCCAAAAAAGTTCACTAAAACCTTCACTTCATAGATGTTCACTAAATCACACTGTTTCTAATTTCCCAACACTTTTTCAATATTTGCCCTTCTTCACGATCCACAAATATCCTCAAAAACGTTTGTCTGTCCTTAAAAGTCCATTTCTACTTCAGAAAATTTAAAGCTCTTAAAATTCCAATATTCCTTAATTACTTAATGCATCAACGATTTCTATAAAAGCATTTGGATTCTATTTCAAGTGATGTGGTTGAACTGTCACTGGGTCAATAAAAGGTCACCTTTTCCTAGAGCGAGAGAGAGAGAAAGAGAGTCATCCTTAAAACTTCATCTCTTGACAATAATTATCGACAATTATCCTCCCATTCTTTTGTTTCTTCTGTTCCTTGAAAATACTTTGCAAAATTATTGATCCTTATCTTTCTTCGCACATCACCACCACCTGTCATAATGTTCCAATTGACATAATCACTGAATTTCTCTCGCATACTTAAAAATCAGAATTCAATCAAAAAAAAAAAAAAAGTCATCAACTTGTCCCTCGATGAACATGACATTCACGTATACCTGACATAATTATTCCTCAGGATTTTGGATAAGAAAAATATGCAAAAACACCATTTCTTGATGGCATTTGATTTTTTTTGGATTTGGAGATTCAATTTTGCGTTTTTTTTTTTTTTTTTAGAGAGCGCGCGTACTTTCGCAAGAGTACAAAACAGATGCCAGAGCGAGACTGAGAGGGAACTTAATATTACTAAGTTCCAACACGCCAACGCCGGCTTGACAGCCCGGGGTCTCGAGGCAACTCTCAAACGACGAGAAAGAAGGCGAGAGAGAGAGAGAGAGAGAGAGAAGAGAGAGACCCTCTTTTACCCGCTTTGCACCCAAGACATCTATCCCCAACACTTGGCCTCCATACCGGTTGGCGGGAAAACGTATCTCATGACAGCTGCCGCCGGCCGGCCGGTTCACTTGCCTGCTTTGCTCCTTCTTCTTCTTCTTCTTTTTCTTCTTCTTATTCGTCTGATTTTGTCCTCTCTTGGTCTCCTTAGTCCCACACTTTTCTAGTGATTTCTGTTTAAGGATTTTTATCAGACATTTTTGCTTCTTATTGCCGATTTAGTTGCGGACAAAATAATTGGTATCTTTTTCATCACGAGGGGCTAATTATGCATTTTAATATCAACATCCGCAGTTTAGGACTAACTATCTGCTCCTTACAAGATGACATTGCAATGGTTAGGTGGATAATTGTTCTTTACTGATTAGAAATTAGAATTTAACCGATTATACTAATCGATATCGATAATTGGTATAAGTTGTACAGGTACTAGTGATTTTTCAGAATCAGTTTCGTGTAAACAAAAGGAGCAATTCTCTAGAATCATTTTCATGCTAACAAATATTTAAGGAACAATTCTAGAATCAGTTTCGTGCTAACAAATCTTGAAGAAATATATAGTTAATAATACAGGTCGATAAAATTTTAGTCTACAACGAAAAACCATTTGACTATCTGAACTCAGAATTGACACAGCATATCAGGTTTTCGAGTTTTAATAGATAATTTTTTCCATAAAGATCAATACAGCATCTGAAAGTACTATTCTTACCCTTTAAAATGCATTTTGTTTACCAAATCTTTATTTGGCTCTTCATATCGTCATTTGAATTTTCTGATACTGAAAAAATCAGCCGAGAATTCAGATGACAATAACTCAAAGGCAAATAAAGATTTTTTCAAACAAAATGCATTTTAAAGGATAAGAATAATACTTTCAGATGCTGACAAAAAAAGGTTTGATTTTGACAACAAAATATTTGGTTGGTATTTACGCTGCCGTACGATTCTAAAACTTAGGTAACCGTCATTGTCGTTTAGGCTGATTTCAGTAGTAGAAACAGACTAAAATCAGCCTAAGCAACAATGTCGATTACCTAAGTTTTTACATCGTACGGCAGTATGAAACTAAATATTTTCTGTAGCGTCAACAAAATTTTGCATGTCCCTATACCAAAAGCAATCAAAGCTTTTTGTCAAAATCAAACCCTTTTTTCAGTGTTCAGAAAACGTAGCCGACAAAACACTAATTTTTTATTAAAAAAATCAATTAAAATCTACATTTTTGGTAACAGAAAAATTTTTTTATTTATTGTGTGTTGAAGACACAATTTTCAAGGTTGACGTTCTATTTAAAGTTGCTTATTTATTTCCACTCATATGATTTGAATTTGGTTGGGTATACCGTATGGCTATTACAAAGCGGGGGAAATATATACACACACTATATAGATATATACACTTGTATATAAGCATTTGCCCTCGACTCGGGAGAATTTTAATCGACTTCCGTTAACCCGATATTCTATCGTTTTATAAAGAGCCAAGAAAACGTGTCAATAAATTAAAATGCTGATTGTAGTTGATAAATTCTTTGATTCCGTTGCTTTTATATGTGTGAAATTAGTCCAAGGGTTTATAAAGGGGAAAGTTAATATAGCATATATATATGTATGTATGCTATATATATGAAATATGCACTCCCGAAGAAATAAAATCAACTTCCTTGTTTGTAAGATTTATAACAATTTTCATATAAGAAAACATTTTACATGTACAAATCTTATTTATTTTAAATATTGAGTTTATTAAATAGTTTTTATAATTTTTTTCGATAATTGTATGAAAATATAGTATATAAAAATTCAGTCAAATAATAATTCATTGACCTTTTTCTCTTTCGAAGAAGCCGCAACTATTTTATTTCACCAACCATTATATTAAAATAGTCCCTTTTTCTACGAAAAAAAGAAACAAAAAATTCAAGGGTTTCAACACCTATGAAACTATTGGGCACTGTACATATAAACGAAAACTAATAAGATGGAATAAATCTTAAAGATATTATCTTCCAGGTAAACGTTGTACTCAATATATATATATATATATAATATTGGAGAGACGAAGAATATTTCAGATTATAAAAATGACGAAACAGTAGAACAGAAGTGGAATTTGAAAAATAAATATATTTTACGATCTCCGACTCTCTCTCTCTATATATATGTATGTACATTGTAAAAAGGAAGTACTTTACGATGAAAAATTATTGTCAACGCACGAGGTACACGAGAGAGGTAGTGAAAAACTTTTTAAATTACTCTTTTTCAAATGTGCACAAACTCAATATATAATGATGGTAATACTTTTTTCTGAGAAAAAAATTTTATTGTCACGAATTATAGGATTGCTTTAGGAGGAAGAAAGAAAGGAAGGGAAGGGGGTATAATTTGGCAAAAAAGTGAAAGTGTTCATTATATTAATCTTTTTTTTGGGGAATTATGGAAAATAATTGAGTAATTGAAAATCTAAACTGAATCTATATTAGGATATAACTTTGAACCTAAATTGGAAATACATTAAACACAAATTAGGCAAACTTTAAAACTAAATTAGGCCTACTTCTGCCCTACTTTGAACCTAGATTAAGCCAACTTTGAACCTAGATTAGGCAAACTTTGAACCTATATTAGTCCTGCTTTGTCCCTACTTTGAATCTAGATTAGAACAACTTTTAACCTACATTTGACAAACTTTGAGCCTACTCTGATCCTATTTTGTATCTACTTTGAAACAAGATAAAACCAATTTTGAACCTAAATTGGACCTACATTGAACCTGGATTAGACCAACTTTGAAACTATAAATTAGGCCTACTTTGACCTTTTCATGTACCTACTCTGAACCTACATAGAACCTACACTGTAAAAAGAAAGGTATTAATTTAATACCGACTTTAGGTACTAAATTGTTATTTGGTTCTATTTTGATACCTAAAATCAGTACTGTTTTAGTACCTTCTTTTTACAGTGATATTTTGAATCTAAATTAGATCTAATTTGATCCTATTTTGAACCTACATTGAACCTAGATTAGGCCAACTTTGAACCTAAATAATACCTAATTTTGAACTTAAATAGAATCTATTTTGAAACTATATTGGACCTATACTTAAAACTGCTAAAACTTTTACTAAAACTAAATTAAACCTACCTTAAACCTACTACACAGGAAAATTTTCACCCTTTAATAACAGAAGTCAAATCAAAATTCTACGAATATATACGACTCAAGTGACCGACATTTACGATCCTTTAAATACTTGTTTGAAAATTTATTCATACATATCGTTGGGTTTATGTGTGTATGTGGAAAACCACTTTGAACAGTAATCAAGTGAAGATCAAAAGTCTGCGGTTTAACGAACGATAGGCCTTTTATCTTTTCCAACAATGTGTGTGTGTGTGGTTAACAGATATCGCATACTTTGTCTCTCTCTCTCTCTCTTCACACTCTCACTCAATTCAATCCTCTTTTGTAAAAGTTTATATACGCGTACACTGTATTTTCTTGTTAGCCAATGTCGTACATCAAAATGCAAACGTTTTTATGTTTCCTCATTTTATATGTATACACACAACAATACAATACAAATAATGTGCGTGCGTAATTTTCATAGTCAGAAGTAAAATTTTTTATTTTTTAATATTGAAAAACTATATATTGTTTTTACGATAATTTACACAACGTTAAAATATATTAAATTTTCTCTTTGTTAACGAGATTTTTAAATTAGATTTTATGTAAAAAAAAAGAATGAATTTTTTTCTTAATGAATATATTATATTGTTGGGGTTGGGAAAATTTACAATGACTAAAGTTAATGAATTTTAAAGGAGTATCTTTGAGAGGACAATTTCAACTAATTTTACCAAGACAAACGGGATTCCATACCTGTCATAGTCGCGCGAGAATAAGACTCGTATATCATCGCGTGTGTCTCGCGGTAAGAAAATGTTGTCGCGTTCCTCGACTATAAACAGAAAATTAAAAGGCATTAAAATAAGATGCAACGCGCTTATTATTTTAATCCAATTTTGCTTATTTTAATCCATTTTGGTATTTAAATAAGCAAAATTGGATTAAAATAATAAGCTTATTTTAATGCCCTTTAATTTTCTGTGATACTTATTTCTTCCTTATTCCCCTTTCTTTCATTTTGCTTTTTTGTTATCTTTTTCTTTTCACATCGATTCTTTTTTTAAATTTCAATTATTACTTTTTTGAATTATGTGCAAAAATTTTTGAATTTAAATTTCTTGCCTTTAATTGGACTATTCAAAATTTGCTGTTCCACACTGAAAAAAAATTCTAGTTAGAATAACCAGAATTCTGGTTAGGGTATATTTAAAATTTTGATTCTGGTTAAGTTAACCAGAATTCTGGTTATTTTAACGAGAATTCTAGTTAATTCAACTAGAATTCTGGTTAACATAACTAGAAAGTAATGTTAAATATAGCCTAACCAGAATTTTTTTTCAGTGCAAATAAATTTTAAGTGACACAACCAAAAGTTTGGTTGTCCTAAAACAAATTTTATATATTGTGGCTAAAGCAAACTTTTTGCTGTCCTAACAAAATTAAAATTTAGTTGGCACAACCAAATATTGTTTGTCCCCAAATAAAATCAAACTGTCCCAAATAAACTTTAGTTGGCACAACCAAAATTTAATTGTCCGAATTTTCTTTTGTCCGAAATTACAAATTGTCCGAACAAACCAAACGAACAGAAAGATTTATGCGCAATTTTCAAAAATTGACCAAAATTAGAAATTATCAAAAAAAATTGTAATTGGTCAATTTTTGAAAATTGCGCCTAAATCATTCTGTTACT